ATGCTATGCAGCTATGACTTTAAGTTAATATGTATACTAATACCTGATGAGATTATAATAATAATCCAATACATAAATGTTATGAAATCAACTTCCTACACATTCCCAAAATTGTCATTCTTGATAGTCTTTGTATCAGATAACACTTGCCGCAAGCTCTATTCCAACTTTTTCGAACACTGGTTGCATCAAAAGCGTATACTCAAGGCTGATGCTGAGGTAGAAGTACCATAATTAGTATACTATACCATAATAGGTTTGTGTCTCACGCCTGGTCATTGTCTTTGCGGCGACATGCCTTATCAAATAGAAAGTAAAAATTACCACTTTTTCTGTACTATTTCTGTTTTCTCTATATCAACACCCCCTGCTTTTTGTTCACACTCAATTATAATGAAGCGAAATCGACCACTTGATTTTATAATGCATGATCCCATTAATAAAGGCAAGCGTAGGACTATATACCCGGGTACAAACAGTTTACGCAACGCGTTACTAATAAATTATAAGTTGAACACGAAACATGACTAGGATGTTTTTATTACTCAACGTTTCGATCGTAATTACGAATGTTACATATTACCAACACGCATCAATCTTGAATTGGCATTTTAACGAAGTATACTTTTCTCGTAAGAATAAAGCCAGATGGTTCTATAATCAATGGCCAATACTAACAAGTTCCTACCGCTTTATATATTCGGGATGGAGATTTAAGTAATTTAGTGAAATTCCGCAGCACAAAAAGTACCAATTAATTATAACTAATTACTCCAGGATTTATATAATTCAGTTCGTTCTCATCATAATAATTGTCACCGATTTGCTCGTCGATTGTTATACAGTTGTGAATTATTTTCCAGCGTCGTCGTTCTTGAAAATGCTATTTACTCCTTAAAATCCTTCAAATACCCCCCTTGTACAATACCCTCCACCTCACATAGTACCCCCCGGGTACATATCAAGTCAATCAAGATGATTTAAGTATATACCCGGGTACTGTATTCAGTGGTCTACGGTAATATCTACTTCCCAAATACGTTAGGGAAAATAAGCTATCTCTCCTACCAAATTTAGGAACCCGGGAGAGAGCACACTGGGCACTATGGAGGAATTACTAGAATTGGGTTATAATGGAAAAAGGAATGACTTACTCAGTTACTGACCTCCTCTGGTCATCTACACTACCCTACAATAAATTACCGGATTTCATATTTTTTTACTAGTAAAACATATGAAAAGTCTTTTTTTTTTTTTTCAAAAATCTCTCCTGCCCATGTGGACTATGTGAATGACAATAGTTTTTGTATGTTTTTGAAGCTAATTAATTGTGCTTAATTGACAGTAAATTATATATATTCTTGTTGTAAAGCTGTAGAATCAAGGAAGTAAGAGAATATGTACTCCATATATAATCATATATTTTTATACCATAATTTAAAGACTGCCACTTCACGAAGCTATAGCTTTATAACGATGATATATATAATTTACCGTTAACTTTTTTCAAAAAGCACAATTAATTAGCTTCAAACCATACAAAAATGAGAAAAATCAAGGTGGTTAAAGAGAGTGGTGAAAAAATGGACCAAGCTACTTTATATTGTTACATGTGAGCTTGATAACAATAATAATAAGACTGAAGTCCAATATCGCAGATAAAAATATGCTACCTCCGAATGCTTATACGATGAATTTGAGTCATAACACAGAAAGCATACAATCGAGTCATGCTTTTGTACAAGGTTTCATAGCTGAAATTAGTAGACGGGATTATGAGGAGCGTAATACTCATTGAAAATTTATGTATGCAAAGTTATAGTTTATATTTTGATCCCTACTGTATCTTATATAATAGTAATAATCAAGGTTTGAAACACCATATAACGGCTATAAAGCATTTTCAGACATGATTTTACATAAAAATTAATTGTTGTATTAGTGTATATATAGTAACTAAATAAAATCTAACACAACTTTGAGATTTCTCAATGTTTATTGGGTTACCTCAGTGCTTGCATGACTCTTCGGCTTACAACTTATCTAAATCTAATTAATATTAAAGCTACAATGTACACTGCTTTTAAAAATTTAATTTGCTCTTAGAATTAAACTTGGTCAGGTATTACATTTTCCCAAGACATTTAAGACCAACATGTCTGGAATGTAAGACTACATGCCCCTATTTTCGACTATACAAATTTGGAAAATTTTCAACAGGAATAATAATAAGTGGTAGACGATATTTTAGGACAACAAAAACATTATACACGTACTTTGATCATAAAAGCAAATCTTTGATGTGTTTGCTAATAAATTAAGTTTACGCGACTGTCGATTAATCAAAGCTTACAAAAAACAACTTTTGGTTTAAATTACCACAAGTTTGAGGCTTTGATATACGTTCTCTAACACTGGTGTCCTGCCCTACACAATTAGGTTTCTTTTATACACATATAAAATGTTATATAAAGCGTTGATGTTTGAAACCTCATAGTAATATGTGAGGTCTTTTTTGTGCTCAAAGATTATGTCTAATTTGTCGCCTACGGTATGAAAATGTCAGTCCATCAGTCATAAAGTTAAAAAAACAAACGCCTTGGCATCTTGTTATTGTAGTCCCCTCTCTTGCCCTCACGCCCAGTTTCAATTTTTTTAACACCGTTGTCTTGATTCACTCGACCACTTTCTGTCTTAGCTGATAGATCCATTGAATTTTAAATAATTTTACTTTAATTCTTTGTATCTGCTTTTTTATGGATTATATCGCAAATGCAATACAGCTTTTTGAATTTTATACAAACAGCCAGCCTGCTTTTCATACGTGTTTTACATAACATTCTAGCCAGATTTGCATATGCGTAATAAAGAATTTAATCGTATTTCCAATTTTCATAAAATGTAGTTCTATAGTATCCACGTTAGAACGGCAAATCCAATTACAACAAATGGTTTGAAGGTCATAAAACCCCATATAACGATACAACTTAGATAAATATTTCGTACCGTTGCTTCTTTCGCACCTGCTGCAGCATTACTATTGCCAAACCATATGGCAATCCCCGCAATCAACGTGTAAATCAGATAGAGAAGATGGTAGAGGAATAGAAAGCGGTAATACGGACTAACTATTTTAGATACGTCAGCCATGAGAAGTTGATAGAAGTAATCAGCTCCGCCTATGTAGAGAATAGTCAAAAATAAGCATATATATGTACAGATTGTTTTACACTAGATAATTCAGATACTTGCCGAAAAACATTCCTAGACTGTTGATCGCCGCGAATTTTCTTGAAAAACATCTCCAAAGTACATAAACCAATAATAATCTGAACACAGACTCTAAGACGAGGGATGCAATCAACCATCCTCGGAAGTTAATCAATGTCCCCAAGTTCTGTAATGATTTACATTTTTTGGTTAGACGGTGACTGGAAATATTGTTTGCGACGTCATATTGATGACCACTCATTCCTACCTCTCGATAACTATAAGCAAGTAGATACCAAAGTATTATGAAAAAATATATGTTGAAAATAGTGTATAGAAAATGAACCGCCGTTTGTGCAATCATCACTTTTCTGGATGGCGGCTTTCTCACATATGGTTTATTTGTATTATCGTTTTCATGGTCTCTATTCGTAACACTTTTAGACGATCCAGTCGGAGTCATTGAGATTCCGTTTCCATCGTCATTGTCTTCACGAGCGAAATGAGCGTCATACAGTGCCTCATCCATTAGTAAATTCAATATATTGCAATATGATTGAACGATAATACACGGAAGTGATGATAGGGATAGGGTAATATATGTAGCAATAATAATTTAACGGTAGCGGTGATAATGGTGACGATAGTAATTTAATAATAATAAAGACAGTAGTTATTGCTCCAGTATAATAACAATACCGTTTCTTGGTTCAATATAATGATAACGTGATCAAACACCACAATGATAGGTGTAAAACTGTTCAATGAGCGGTCATAACGAGTGTTGGGAGAGAAAAAAATAAGAAACGAGATGGGGTTGTGTTTGCTATTGTCACATCTATTTAAAACATTTCGGATAACAAAGTTCATTTTTTCATCCAAGCACATTCTCCTTGTATGTGACATCAACCATTAAGGTTTGATGATAGAACCTCCTAATATGGTATGTATTTATTTCACATCGAAGATCCCCGGAACCAGGATATCAGAGATAAGTGATCAGTATCCATGACATTCGGGGCTTTCAGACGCTCTAACCCGAAAAATTTCATATTGTACGACGACAGGGGTTGTGTGTGTTTAGTTATTAGCGTTCCCAAATTTGACTTCTTGGGTTTGGGGTCGACCCACTTGCTCACCACAAACCCTCCCAGGCATGAAATCCTGTGGTGAACAAGGGGGATAAAATCTGGGTGAGAATACGACTAGAACTCGTACAGTAACAATATACCTAAAGTTTAACGATGATATTGACCTTTGGAAGGAAATTTTTATGAGACAATCATAACGAAAAACCCAGCGTTTGGGGAATGCATAGGCTGTTGTGTAATTTGGCAAATAATCGTAAAGGCTGCTGTGTAATTTGTCATTTTACTATAAGGCTTGTTATGAACCATTTTAGGGCTCGGCAATCCTGTAGAACGGGGTAAAGTGAATAACCGAATGCATAAGTGAAAACCAACAGCGAAAGAGACTTATTTTCAAATAATGTTGGTTGTTTCTATATCAACGATGCAAACTTTAACATTGTGTCATCAGTTACTTGCTTTCATGAAATCCAATCATGTGTTGAGAACACACCTCTTATTTTCCAATTAATATATTCGACGGACATGCCCCTATAGTAATAGGAACACCATGCAGCGTCACGAACATGTAACTAGTTATTGGCTACTTCAAATTACTAAATGTGGTTTGATTAAATAGGTTATCAAAGAGCAAATCACAGCCAATAAACTGTATTATTAGTGTAAAAGCAAGTCCTTTGCTTCTTGCAATTCTCTAGCATCATGGCTTATCACATTCGCACTCACTCACTTGCTATGAGTGAAAACAGCGGCGATGCAGAGATGGGTAAAGGCAATATAGATGAAAAGCGTATAATAGTTGAAGATGTAGAAAGTCTGGCGGCTGATAATGAGATAGGGAGGAAAGGGAGTCTTGTTTTATTCTACGAGAGAATGTTCTATTACGTATACGCTTTAATTAATACCTATATGCTAATAAGTACTTGCTTGCTGGTGGAGTATAGTACAAACGAGGTAACTAACGATCTTCCGTGTTTATATTTGTGTTATCATTAGTCTATTAACGACACTTTATAATCGCAGGCAATGCAGGACATTAGTGGCGTTGGCAAGATTAAATTTTGGGTTATTTGTTGGCTGGTTGTCGAACTAATTTCAAGAACTCATATTGTGTTAATTCTATGGTACTATTGCTCATGGAAATTTGCAATAGTTAATTCTTTAGGCGGGCTGTTAGGTATTATATTATTCTGCTTACAATCATATGTGTCTGATGATATATCACTAATATACTGTATGTACGTTCGGTATGGTGGACAAACAGGCGGAGCCGATTACTTCATTCCAATGTTCAAGAATAAGCCAGGTTCGCACGATGATCTTAAGAAATGGGTAACAATAAACTGGTATTTTTATGTTATCATCAACTATGGTGGAGGGTCTGCTATGTGGCTATATTGCAGAAACTTTGTGAGTGGAACAAATACTAGTATCGTGGGCATGCTGTTGACCAGTAATATCGTTGTTTGGGTATTCAATTTAATCAGACCGCTTTCAGTAATAATATGGTATCTTTGTGTATATGAATGATGGCAATTGACGACGGGGGCTGTGATGGCATGAACGATAACAAAAACGCGAGGTAACTCGACAGTACTGTCATCTCAAATACCGTAAAATCGTCAACATCAGTTATATACCACTTTTAATTTTTAATTGATTGTCATTGCGATAATAAGCTTGTAAGCTATTATGTTTAAAATTATAGTACACCCGTAATTAAAGTGCGTAATTTGATGTTATTATTATTATTATAACGTATTAGTTTTTAGTGAGACATAAATTAGATAATCAGAAATGTAATTGGCACACTATTTGTATTATGTAAATGAACACAAGAGCAATATGTACATTGGCACCAAATAAAACGGCCGATTGGCAAGATACTAACGATTTTATGGGCTTAGAAATTATCGTACAATAACTGTTTATTCAAGATGGAAAAAAGATGAAACAAAGAAAATTCATATCAATGCATCGTACTGTAAGCCCACACGTTCTCTACCAATAACTTCGTTTGTGGCATCCAATCTAGGTTTGTTTTTTTTCTAGAATTCAGGACTAGTTTAGATCGTAAAATAATGTTCGGCGATTTTCTTGTGTGTGTGTTCACAGAAACCTGATGGGAAAACGAGAGTGGTATCAATAGAGTTGTACGTAATAATTCAAATAACCCGAGGAATGAAGAAAGTATCCGAAAGAAACAGATATAGTAAAAGCGGTATTACAAACTATATCTTCCACCTATCCTTTCATTACGCTCCGACTATGTTTGTAACACACAGATAAGATTTCTTCGGAACTTTTTCCCCGAGATGTTTGGTGATCGTAAGTTTTGCAGGTCGTTTCCCGTTACAAATGGCATTCATTCAATTCATTCGGCACCTGGACAGCTCATATCACAGATGTCACAATACAATTTGTAACCGTACAATTATCTTGTCATTTTAATCCGATACCCATTAATTTCCTTGCTGTCGGCCCTTATCGGTTTTTTGTTCTCAATAATAGTTTAGCACCAAAAAAATTTTTTCGTTGTTTGTTTGTTTATTATTCTCGTCTGCAGTTAGATAATAAACAATATTGGCTTTGGCATTGGCCGTTAATAATTCTAAACCTTCGCTTTAGTATGGCGAATGCGAAAAAAAAAAGTACTGGTGTATCAATATGTATTTACAATTACATATTACTACCTTCAATGAAAGTATACATCATCTTTAAAATGCACTATCTTTCTAAGCGAACTTGTAGAATAGAGAGAATCTGCACCTATCCACATTAAAACAGATTATTTCCTGCACGATCTAATAAACAGCCAATCAACCATGTCCATCTAATCGGTTATTATTGTTCTTTAATCTTTGCTTGTTCAACAACAATTATTGCTAAATGGGTTAAGACAACCTTTAATCTAGATATCACCCCACCGACCCGATTGTTGGATGTTTACTGAAGCAAGATGACATTATAAGACGTCAAAATAATCTTGAAAACGCAATATTAAACGTATGTAACAATGGCTGAGGCGATCCCAAAATAATAATTTTGCAGACGGACTTAAGTTTTCGACGGTTGGTTATCAAAGTTTAAGTAAATAAAAATATTACTGGTTCTCCCTAAATGCAGGCAGCGGATCTTTCGTGACATTAGGAATTCTGCAAACCCCACTCTCTTAATTATTTAGAACAAATTGGTGGGATTGAATACTTTACTATCAAGTAACACGTTTGACAAAGTGAAGAGGCTATACGCACCGTTTGAGGAGATACAATGAACCCGGATGTCGAGAATGGTTTACGCATCGTAAACTGGCTTAAATTCAAAAATCTCTTATTAAACTGACGATTATTATTTTGAACAGCCCTGCGTGTGTGCAATTGATGTTAACCTGATTCAGTGCTTGATTATGAAATCTGGGAACGCTTATTGATCAATGATACCAAAAGTTTCAAAGACTGATAGCTCTCTTGGAACTAAGATCCGAAACTTCTTTCGTTTCTATTTCCTGGCGGACAAGAACCTAAATTTCAAAAAGTTAATAATCTTGATAACCCAAAACTTGCAGAGTTTCTCGCGACTGAAGGGAGTTATCTCGTTTCCTGGTAGGGTCTCTGAAACATTCAAGATTTTATCACCTCTTGTATGCCTGCAACGCGTGATTCACCTTTCCTGCCCACAGGTAGAAATACTAATACCCGTTCTTCTCCACCTACATTTTTAAATATTGAAGCAAGCAGTCAGTATATTCAACAAAAACTATATTAATATTACTATAGAGTAGCAAATTTAATAAAGCACACATGTTTGTGGATGCATCTAGAGATTGTAGTAGCTTCTAGTACTAATTAAATGTGTGCATGATTCAGAACTATGCCACCACATGTTAAAACTATTGTATAAATAATGCATTGATTTTTTTTGACCTGTGCACATCCTGTTGAGTTATTAGCAACAGTCCTTGATTATGATTATGCAAAACAACTCTCAGCAGGAGGCAAACTGCAACAAAACCAGACAAAGTAAACATTTGATTGTGTGAGCTAAAAATGGCTGACATGGCTAAATATAAAAGATCAAGTAAGTGACTGATGACATTTTGTGAAGGCTTTTAGTATATTAATATAGTTTTGGCTCATTATCATATACACCTATGGACTAATTTTTCAGATACATTTCTGAGCAAAGGCCCAACAATCTTCATTATAATGTCCCTTTCTCTCAGATTCTGTCCTATGATGTTGATTTCCCAAGAAAACATCTTAATCTTTTCACTAAAGAAAAAATGTTACCTGTTATCTTATCTTTTGAATTGAAGAATACATTCATCCACTTCCACCAATAGAATCTATGTCACATAACGTATTTATGCGTTTTGTTTCAAAATTGGAGTTATGCTTGTTTCAAATTCGGGTCAATCATATAGAAAGCAACCAAGTTTAAATGCTTACAACTTTTTACACAATAACAGACAATACTTTAAAATTTTAACCAGTAACTTAATAGACCTTACCATGAAGAACAATATTACTGGTCAGTTTTTAAAAATACGATTTTTCTAAAGTCATACCATTTTATTGTCGCCTTATGCTTTCCCACATACCATATTTGAACTGTTTTCTTCCCTTCTATTGTTATCACTTTCCTCATAATTCTCAAGCACCTGTTACAAATAAAAAACGATATTCCAAAAAATTATCAAAAAGTTACGTTTTGCAAGAAAAAAAAAGAAGAAAAAAAAGTACCTACCACTAGTGAATCTTTTTCAAGATTAGCTGAGTTTAATAAATTTTTTGGAAAGTTCAATGATGCTGCAAGAAATGTTTGCCTGTACAGCAAAATTCACAGACTCCTGCAAGTGAGATCCATGCTACTAGTACTAGTTGCAATTGTCAGCGGTTTTCTTCGCGAGGCGGCTGCGCTCCCTCACCGTGACAATAGGGCCCTGTAGTGTCGATGCTTAGTGATGAGGCCCACCGACTTGGCCAACTTTATTATACTACTTAAGTATATATTTATAATTCTATCTCTAATTATAATGTCAAACATTATCGTAACTAATTACCGTATTTCACGGACTAAAGTACCACCCCTAGCATAGTACCACCTCACCATTTTGAAACCCATGGAATGCAAAGTACCATGGGGCTATGATCAGATTGTTACACGAGAGACTTGTAAAGTACCATGGTATAGTAT